AAATACACTTTCGAAGCTCTGCTGAAACTCATCATTGGGCTTGATGGACTGAGGTTGTCTAAGAAACTCCAGGTACTGAAAACCCTCCTTGTTTGTTAATTTTAAGTAGGGTGACAGTTAGGTTTCTTCAACTATGAAAGTATCACAGAATCTTGTTGGGGAGGCAGTTGGGGAGCCTCCAGTCAATAATGCATAAAATAATTTTATGTTTGAATTTAAAGGACATGTATTTTATATTATAAGCACGTGTCATCCTATTTTGAATTTAGTTAGATTCAATTGTTAGTATTTTACATTATTGTAAAATCGAAATTTTATGTTTAAAACAATAATTTGAAATAGATTATATTTGTCAAATTACAAGGTTTAAATTAAGTTGCTGAATTTCTCAAGATTCCAAATTCAACCAGGAAAAATTAGCTGTCTGACATTCATAAAAACAACTAAGATAATAGATCCAGTCAAACCTATATCCAGTTTGTATATTAGGTGTTGTGCAAAATGATATCCTGCAAATAATGAATAAATGATTAACTATAACTGGAGTTATAAGTTAATTATTTAACTTATTCAAAATCGGAGGTGAAATCAGTTTAGGGTTCTTAGTTGAATAATTTTAGCTTTAATTTGCATACTCACCAGGGTTTAAGCCTTTCACCTCTGGATGGTTCTTGGACCGGCTGTTAAAATTCAGGTATCCACACCAATCTAGTGACCCAGGCTAGGTTATCAGCAAAGATATTAATTATCAATCAAAGAACTATTTATATCTGTTTATTCACACTGTTACCAAAAGGGGGTGGATCTTGCCTGAGGGATAAATTGTCCGCTATATGGATTGCAAGACCACTACAAGTTTAACAATGACATCTTTATTCTAATAATTCAGGATTACAGAAATCTAACATCTATGTAAAACGATACACGCTTTTGGAAAATAAACAAGAGGTAGACAAAATAAATAGTTTAAAGAAAACAAAAAAATATAAAACCCTAAGAGTCCGTTTAACTGGCTTCTGAGATTTTCAAAGATAGGCCAGATGTTAATGAATTCACTAATATCCAGTAGAGTAGCAGCAGGTATGATGATAACAAAAGTGCAATTAAAATAACATTAAAATAATGTGAGTGTGTATGGATGTATAAGAGACTCTCTCTTCATGTGATGAAAGGGGGGGGGGGGGTTAGCAACAGTAGGTCCTTAACCACGTGACCACAAGCGGTTAAATTGGGCAAACTCACCCTAACCCTATCCTAGCCCTAACCCATCCAAACCCTCAACTAACTCTAAGGTCCTAAGGGCCCCTGCACCAGTGGCGGCCGGCCCATAGGGGGCGCTGGGGCACCGCCCTCCCTGATAAGAAGAGAGAAAC